TCAACGTCTGGGCACACTGCGGGCACTCATTTGCATGTCCCCTGGCTAGCCCAGCTCCTCATCAGCGGGTCCTGCTGCTCGCCAGGAGCTGGATTTGCTTTTCCTCCCACGGGATGTGCCCACGGACAGACCCTCAGCCAGCACGGGCAGCCACACATCCCCGGATCCCTCGGGAGCTTCTTCCCAGGCGGTCCTTAGCGGGTGACTTACTCTCCAGAGCAGCAGCTTTACGAGCCTCTGCACATTTCCATGCTGCTCATTACCACTGTTTATTGTTTTACAAGGGCCCAGAGCACTGCTCACATCCCAGGGCTGGCCCGTGGGAGCTCTTGAGCTCTGCAGTGCCAAACTAATTTCCAAAGATGAGGGTTTTCAGGGATTTATTTGTTCCAGCTCCTTGGGCTCTGCTGTGGTGGCTCCAGGCAGTGCCAGGCTCAGGACCACTGGTTGGGTTTGTGCTCCAGCCAGGGTCTGCTTGGTGTGAATCGTTCTGGGATGGAAATGGCCAAGTGTGCACAGATAACAGAGGCACCTGTGGCATTTACACCCCTGCTTTTGAAACTACAACACAGTCTAACCCTTCCCTGTCTCAGGATGTGTTTGTGTACAGCTACAAAACGCCTCAGATATTTCTAAGGTGAAATATGATATTCCTAAAATATTTGATGCTGCTGAAGCATGTCTGAAAAGCTTCTAAAATATACAAAATATCTTAAAAATACCTCATATTAGGGAGTCTGGGCATTTGCCCTGCCCTCTGCTTCAAAGGCCTTTTGAACATCCAACTCTTCATCCTGTCTCGAAGTCCTCATGGGTGACTGCTGAGCTGGGGACTTCCCTGCACTCGGCCCTCGGCTCCTGAAACCTTGGCTCGTGTCGGTCTTGGCACAAGGAAAATTAATTTCCTGGCCTCAGCCCAGTGCAGGCTCATTAGGACCTGGCACAATCACCTTTTTATGTGTGGGAGGGGGCAGTGGGGGCCAGGGCAGCACCGAGGTTCCCTGGGGATGCCCATGGGGACACGCCAGGTTTTAGAGAAAAGCTCTGTTCCAAAGGAGGGGACTGAGCCCCCTTGGCTTGGCAGTGGGGCAGAGACCCCATCCCACTCTCCTGCTGCCCATGGATTTGCTGCCAGTGTGGGTCCTCCTCTTGAACACCGTTGGGGTTGAGCCTGCTGGAAAAGACATTTTCATTGCCTGCCTTTGCATTTTGGAGAGAAGAAGGGGCTAATGGGGCAGTTTGAGGAGGGAAGGAGGGCTCAGGCTCTGCCCCTGGGCTGCATGTGCTCAAACCTCCGTGTGTGCCCAGCTCCACGGTGTCCAACTCTCCTGGGGAGATGGATGATGCTCTTATGGATTTGAACACCAAGAAATAAGGTTAGTAACAGGCCAGGTTCTCCAAACCTCCCGAGTGCTTTCCAAGGAAAACCTTGGCCATGGCTGGAGGGAGCCACAGGTGGGAGCTGCCCCTCAGGATGGGCCAGAGAAGTGGAGGAGCCTGAGATGGAACCAGAGGAACTCCACAGAGGAGAGATGGAAAATGAAATATCCATACAAAGGAAAGAGGTTGTATGATTGGGCTTGGCAGTGTAAGAAAGGCAAGAGACAAAAGCAGTCTCCGAGCAAAACGCTGGAATTTAACTTTCACAGCTGCAGAAGGAAAACAATAACTTCCCACACAAAACTCACTGATGGGCTGTGCTGATGAGGAGATGTCTGAGGAATTTCAATTAAAAGCCAGCGACACTGACAAAGGCAATGAGATTGAAGTGTTCAGAGGTAAGTGAGCGATGGGGAGGGAAGAACAATAAGTGACGAGGGAGGGAACGGTGCCTGCTCAGTGCTGCGTGGGCTGGGCCCTTCCCAAGGCAGCAGAGCCCTCATCCACCCTGGCAGGGAGCTGGGATCTGCTCCTGGGGTTCCAGCCCCTTCTCCAGCCCTGTTCCCTTCTCTCCAGCACCTCTGTGTCATGAAGGGCCCAAAACTGACCCCAGGATTTGAGGCAAAGCTTCAGCAGTGCCCAGCAGAGACAGAGAAGTCACCAACCCTTGTCTGGTGGCACTGCAGCAGGTGACAGCACGAGCAGCACATGGAAAGAGCCTGCACCATTCTTCCTGCAGTCACCATGCAAGGAAGATGAATATCTTCCAAGCTGGCACAGCTGACATCGTGCCTGATGGGAATAGCTCGTCCTTGCAGGCTGCCTGCTGGAGAGACGGCTCTGCTCCCTCCGAGCTGGCACCAGGAGCTGGGACCAGGAGGGGAGCAGGCTGGGCAGGCTCCTGGGCTACCAGGAGAGGCAGGGATGGCTACAGCCCAGCCAGGCCTAGGGCAATGAGCAGCTGAGCACAGGGGGCAGCTGTGGCAAGAGCCAGCTTTGGAACAACCTGGAGCAACGGGAGGAAGGAGGGAGGGATGGCCTCGCACTGAAATATCTCGCTTGGCTCTGAGCACGGCATGGAACTTCTGGCACACAGAGCCCTGCGAAGTTCCGTGCCAAAGAAAACAGGAGGATTGAAAGCCCTGAGGCGCAGTGTTTGTGCAGAGCAGGGCGCTCGGCCCCGGGTGGGCTCCTGGTGTCTCCAGCCCTGTGCAGAGCTCTGCTCCCTGGCTGAGCCAAAGGCAGGTGCCATCCCCACGGCCGCTGGCACTGGTGGCACCGGTGGCACCATCTGCTTCTCCGTGCTCACATTTATACGGCAGCACAACAGGCTGACCACGCTGATGGGGACAAGCTGCTTTTCTGCCTTTAAGAACAAATTTCCATCTATGTAGATGGCTCGGAGTGCCGGCTAGCCTCGCTCAGAGCCCTGCCAGATGCCACAGCCCTGCTCCCCCGAGGCACTCCGTATCTCCAGGCGTCTGTTGTTCCATTAAGCTATTTTTAGCAAACATATCCCCCTTAGTTCAGCTGCCGTTATCTGATTAGTTCCTGTAACTATACGAGGAGCAACATCTCCAGGCGTGACTGCGATTCTGAGCAGGCTGCGTCTCTGCACACGCCTTTCCTCCAGGAGAGAAACTTGCTGGAGATGCTCCTCGCCGCGGTGCTCTGAGCTCTGCCGAGGCTCCGTTTGGGGGCTGGGGGCAGCAGGGATCAGCCACTGGAGCACACGACCTTTGGTACAGGCAGAGTTATCCGGGCGCGTTTCCCGGCTGCTGCCGGCGATAAGGAGCCATCTCCTCCGGCGTTGCCCAGATGCGGCGGTGATAAACAGCTGGCTTTGTTTGCTCCGGAGCACGGGGCTGCTGATGGAGATTTCCATCATCTCCAGCTGAGGATGGGAGCAGAGCAAAGTCCTTGTGCAGCAGGGCGGGTGTGCCCCGAATGTGGGGGTGCCAGGGTTGGGTACCCCCTTCCTCCCTGCAGGTACCACCAGGGAAAGCTGCACCACGGCCATGGAACAGGGACTGGTTAAAAACCTGCAGCCCACACATGGTTCCAGCACTGCACTTTGTTCTGAGGCCTCAGCCTCTATTGACTGCAGCTGTCCTGGAAAATCAGATTATAGTGCAAAATCGTGGCATCCAGTCTGCTCTGCCGAGGCAGCTCTTCCATCTCCCGGCTGGATCGTTGGGATTGGGATGTGGGATGATGAGCCTCCACCGTGACAGCTTTTCCTTCAGCCTCAGCTGTGCCAGAGGAGCGCTGCAGACCCGGAGCTCCTCAGCATTCCCTGTGACAGCCGTGCCCGTGCCCAAGACTCGGGGTGGTAGAAGGGGGATCTCACCCAGGAATCGTCCACAGGAGCTCCTAACCTGGCTCATCTCCCTTGTCCATGGTCAAATCCACCAGAACCCTGCTGCCTGCTCCTCCTCCTCCCCACGGGCCCTCAAACAAGGATTAACCATAGATTTAAATGCTCCCAAAGGGAAAACCATAGTGACAATGACCCCTCAGCATCACCATGGCTGTCACCCGAGCTGTGGTGTTGCCCCCGGGCTCTCTGGGATGCTGATTCCTGCCGTGTCAGCTGTCACTCCCTATGCCAGCGCTGTCACATCTTCACCATGTGCCCGCCTGGCTTCTCCTGACAGTGATTTATTCCGTGTTCCTGCTTCGTTGTACCTGTCCAGGCCTTCATTCCCAGCCAGGCTGTGGCCATCCTGCCAGAACACGTCACACAACCAAAGACATTTATTCCAGCTGAGAGACCTCCAGTGCCTCGGGTGACATTCGTGAGCAGAGAGAGATGCCAAGTGTTGCTCACTGAAACCAGTTGCTGAGACACACTGGGAGAACCCAGGCTCCCAATCCCACCCTTACACCCTCGAGGGATGCTGAGTGGCTGCCTCGAGTGGCGACACCGAGTGCTGGCCCGTGGCAAACCCGAGAGGGATGGAGGCGGCTGCGGGATGGATCCCAAACAGGGATCTCCACTGTGGAGCTGCACCCCTCCCGCGGGTCTGGCGTGTGCGGCATTAACGTGGGGCACCCCACGTTGCTCCCCGGGCTGCGGGGATCCCACCAGAGGCTCCTTCCGGTGCCCCCGCGGGCACCTCGGGGCCGGGGTGCGCAGAGGCGGTGAGCGGTGCCTCCCCATCCTCTCCTCCCTTCACGCGGGTACAAATCCCTCCCCCGTACCCCGTTTTTGCCTTGCCCGCTCCCCCCGGTTCCCCCCCGGTTCCCCCCGGTACCGGCGCTGCGGGGCGCGAAGGGGCGGAGCCACCAGCGAGGCCACGCCCCCATCGCCACCCTCCTCGCTCTTCCATTGGCCGAGAGGCGGCGCGGGGCGGGGCCAGCGCGGGGCGGCGGCGGCGGCGGCTCCCGCGCCCCCCCAGCCCCGGCGCGGCCGCGGCGCCGGCCCCGGGAATGTCGCGCAAGAAGGCGGCTCGCAGCAAGGGCGGCGGTGCCGCGCCCTCCGCCGCGCTGCCTCCCGCCGCACAGGGCACCGGCCGAGCCGCCGCCACCGCCGCTGCCCCCCGGGGGAGCTCCGCTGCTGCCACCGCCGCCGCCGCCGCCGCCGCCGCTCCCGAGCTGCCCCGCAACGGCGGCGCGGCGGCGGCCGGGCGGCCCTCGCTGAGCAGCAGCGGGGAGTTCTACGATCTCGCCTTCAAGGTGCGGGACCGCGGAAGGCAGCGGGGAGGGCTGTGGGAGTGCGGGGTCAGGCGGGTGAGGGGCCGGGGGTTGCGTCCCCGAAGTTCCCAGGGGCCAGGACCGGGCGGGCATCCCTGCATCCCTGCATCCCTTCATCCCTGCATCCCTGCATCCCTTCATCCTTGCATCCCTTCGTCTCTGCTTTTCTACTTCCCTGCATCCCTTCTTCCCTCTCTCCAGCCCCGGCATCCCGCCGCTCCGCAGCCGCTCGGTCGGGGTCTCGCTCGGCGGGGGCTGCGCCCGCAGAGCCCCCCGGTAGCGGAGCTGCTGCTGCGGGACTTGTGCAAGTGACGGCCAAAGGCTGCTCCGGGGAGTTGCTGTAGCCTCCGGGATCCTCGTTAACCTGCAGAAAAGCGGGGCTGTGAGCAGGGTGATGGCACCCCTCGAGGGCATCGAATGCGCTCCGGCCGCTGCTGACATGTCCCCAGCCTGTGGGGCTCAGATGGCTTCTCCTCGCTGCTTCAGACCCTGTCGAGCGAGTCACGGAGCAAATATATTTGCTTCCTCACCACTTCATCATGCGACCCGATGCAAGCCTAGCTTAGACCTCATCTGATGGTTTTAGGGCTCACATCGCGATTTTGGGGCTCATTTAGTGATTTCGGCTGAGGCCACGACTCGGTGAAACCCCTCTGTGTTTCTAACACGGATCTCGGTAGCCGAGCCCGGGGGATGGAGGCTGGAGAACGCGGGTTTGCTGTGGCAAGTCCCACCTTGGTGTGCGGTGTTGAGAGCTCGGTGCCTGTGGCTGTCGGTGCGGCCGTCGTGGTGTTGAGGTTTGGGATGTGGGGTAGGAGGTGTTGACGTTTGGGATGTGAGGATGGAGAGGGACGTTCCAGGAATGTGTTTGGTTGCTTCGGTAGGTCCCGATACAGCTGCATTAATGGTTCAAGAGCTTGCCTAAAATGGAGCCACCTCTGTGTTTGCACTGGTCCTCGGCTCCTGGAGCTCACCTCTGCCTGCCCGGGCTGGGGCTTTCCCTAAGGGATCGTCCCCATGGCACCAGGGCGAGCCAGATGGGTCTCGGATAAGCCCAAATGCACCGGGTAGAAAAAGCATCAGCTAATGGTCTGGCTGATTTTGAACCGGTGGCAGACAGAAATTGATTTGTTTACAGTAAAAACCTGGTTTACTAAACTTTCTCCTTCCATTCCCCTCTCCTGAGGCTCCCGATCTCTTGCCTGATGCAGTGGCCAAGTCCTGGGCACAGGCTGGATCCTGGTCCTGGGCACTCTGCGTGCCCAGGTGAGGGTTTGGTGGTGCTGAGTGGGGAGGAGCTGCTGTTGAGGGTCACCTATTCCTAAAAGATGTCTGGATTTATTTTTTTTTTAAATCAATATTTTGTACTAAAATGACTTTTTTCCCCGCCTTCCCTTGGCTTCACACTGATATTCCCATGGGCTCTGGCTGCCCTCACCCTGCTGTGCCAGGGATGAGTGCCTGGTGCTCCCGTGGGACACCAGTGTGGGGTTCTGCTGAGGGTGTGGGGGCACCGTGGGCAGATCCTGCCCTCCCTGGCAGTGCCAAACCGAGCTGCACCTGCAGCCGGGGCTGCCACTGCTTCTCAGGGCTGGGCTGCACAGGGGTGGTGGCATTTGCCACTTCTGGCAGCTCCTGGGAGGGTTCGGTGTGACCCAGGGCAGTCCCTGCTGTAAAGCCATTTAAATCCTGTCACGGGTTAATGGCTCGTGGAAGGCTGATGGCAGAGCCTTGGGACAGAGGGAACCTGGCACGGCAGGTGTGGAAGGAGCTGGCACAGCCCAGCTCCCTGGTCCTGGATTTATTTCCTGGTGTCATCCCGCCAAGGGGAGCGGGGTGGGTGCCCTGGGGGTTGTTGGTGTGGGCAGAGATTTTGGGGAAGTGCATTTGGGAGCTGCCTCAGCTCTGCCGTGATTGCTTTGTGGCAAGGATCTGCCTGCCCTGTCTGTGCCCAGGGGCGGCTGCTGGGAGGGGAAACTGAGGCAGGTGGCACCGGGAGCTGCTCCCTTGGCACCCATGGATGTTTGGCAGGGTAACCATGGGCATGTGTGGGTTCTGCTGAAGGTGAGGGCAGAGTGCACCCCTGGAGCTGGCTCTCATGGCTGGGGACCCCCTGAAGTCTCCCCACGGGCAGGGTCACCCTCCCAGAAAGCCCCACATGTGATGGGGTGTTTTGTGGGTGCACTGGGGACAGCACCTCTTGGTTTTCAGGGTCTTTGTGCCCCCACGAAGGACCTGTGAAGTGCCTGTCAGGGGAAGGTGTCTCCAGTTTGGTGACATGGTGCAGAGTGGGGAATAATCCCATTATGGATCTCCCCCACCCTGCCCTGAGTCCGGAGACATCACTCTTGGATGTGCTTCTTCCCCTCAAGCACATCTCAAGCTGCCCACTGCTGTGATGGAGTGGGGTAAAGGCTGCAGTGGGGCTGCCTTCCCAAAACCTGGAGCCTGACCCTCCTTCCCTCCCTCCCTCCCTCCCTCCCTCCCTCCCTCTGTCCCTGCAGGTGATGCTGGTGGGTGACTCGGGGGTCGGCAAGACCTGCCTGCTGGTGCGCTTCAAGGACGGCGCCTTCCTGGCCGGCAGCTTCATTTCCACGGTGGGGATCGACTTCAGGGTAAGTGCCTGGGCCCCGGGGCTCTGCCAGGTGAGTGGTGGATTTTGCAGAGGAGTAACTAAACGTTGCTGCCAGGATTTTGAGCTCACCAGCCGTGTCAGCTCCAGCCGGGGCGCTCGGGGCGTGACAGCAGCAGCGTCGTTGTTACAGCTTTGTGCAGGGATGGGGAGCGTGTCCTCTGCTCTGGGTCCTGGGGAGAATTCCTGGAACAACTGAGACCTGACATCTGCCCGTGAAAACATTTCCCTAAGGCAGTTTCAGCGTTTTTAAGAGTTGTTCATTTTTTTCTCGATATAGTTCTTTTCAAAACTGATATAAACCAGAATGCCCTGGAAGAATGTCCCGAGCACAGCTTTGGGGTGCTGATGTGGAGCTTTGGGGATGTTGTGCCCGGGGATCTCTGAGGTCTCATTTTGGTTGGGAGCAACTGGAGCATCCTGATGCCGAGGCAATCATGGGGGCAGCAGTCAGAGCTGTGCAGCTCCAGTGAGGACAGTGGGAATCTGCTCCACACAGGGAATAACAGCTGGGTTGGGGGGAAGAAAGGGGATCACTCCTGCCCTGCAATGCCCCAGCGTGCCCAGAGCACCCTGTGCCAGGCAGGACCCTCTGAGTACCGGCCAGGGCCCTTGTAACCTTTCCTTGGCCGTGTTTCCCTGTCAGTCCCTTGCTGGGGGAGCTGCCTGGGGTCTCTGTGGTTCATCAGGCCCTGGTGAAGGGGATCCCCACCCATGGGGTGGGACAGCAGAGCAACAGGAATGGTGACTTTACAGAGGTGGCACCTGGGAGCCTGTACAGCAGCTGTGCAGGGCACGAGGCAGTTTTGCCACCAAAGCAGCAGCCAAGCCTGGCTTGGCTCTGTGGCATTGGGATCAGCTGCTCCCTGTCCCTCCCCCGTCCCCCAACCACCTGCTCCCCCCAAAATGTGAGCTGTCACCTCCCAGGATGTCTGGGCAGTGCTGTCTCCCTGCCCTGCTCCCAGGGCACCTGCTGTGCCATCTCTGTGGGATGATTTGGGTGCTGTGAAGAGCTGCTGGTGGTGCCACACACAAGTGCTGCATCTTCCCAACACCCTTTTCCCAGCAGGATCTCAGATCTTCACTTTTCTTGGAGGATTTCTGGGAGATGAGTGTCTCTTGTAACCTGCTGCTTGGCTGGGGTGTGAGTAATAAGTGGCTGGTGCAGTGACATTGGGAAGGGGTGAAGGACAGCTCAGAAAGCCCTGAGGAAGGAAGGGATGTTCCATGCCCAGTGAGGCTGGGGGTTGCTGCAGGTGAAATGAGTAAATTGAGATCTGTAATTTTATATAAAGGTAATTACACGGTGTTTCGGGTGTTCTTCACATAAAAGCGTTTTATTACTGATTGCAGTGATTGATACAGAGGGCAGCCATAAAACCCTGTGACTTATTGATTAGAGTGCTGAAATGACTGCTACTGAGAAGCAATCAAATTAGGGTTAATTTACTTCTCTAATAGAGCTGCTAGAGCTACATGTCTCTGAAATGGGCAGATTATACAGTGGGGGAGATCATGTGTATGCCCTAAAACTCATTATTATCATCCTTGTAAGGCATTCATAATTTTGGGGGGGACATGGAAATAGTTTTTTGATGTTCCTCTCCGTTCCCACCAGGATAATCCTGTTTGGTAATCGTCCCTCTCGCCGTGGGCGCCACAGATGCAGATGATGCTCTGGGATGGCAACACTGGAGGCTTCTGCTGGTTTTAATTTGTGTATTTTTAATCATGGAGCTGTCGTATCACAGCTCCTTCTCTGTGCAGCCGCGGAGTTTGGCAGGGGTTTGCTGGCTGAGGCAGGCGAGGTGGCAGCGGTGGGAAGGTGTCTCTGGGGTTTGCTGTGTTCTCTTGGCCCGCTGTGAGAGGTGCTGAGCGAGCTCAGGGGGTTTTATTTTGGGGTTCTGTGGGGTTTTGGCAGGGTTTGTGCCAGACTCTGAGCCTCGCTGGCAGCAGAGGCTGCAGGGAGCTCCCCAAGGCCAGCTCGTGTGGCAGCTGCGCTCCTGTGCACGCACGACCTTGTTTGGGACCTGCCGGGTCCCTGGGGCCCATCCTGGCTCAGGAAACCACAGGGACAGAGCTGCCCAGATCCTGGCACTGTCCTGGAGACCATCCCCACTCTTCCTGATGCCATCTGGTCCCTGCAAGCGCTCTGGAATGGGATGGAGCTGCATTGGGGCAGCCCCCGTGCCAGCCCAGCTTCCTCCTCTCCCCATCTCAGTGGGCTCCAGGATCCACTGCTCATTTTCTAGGATGTCAAACCATTAGATGCACCCAAAGCTATGGCTAATGGTTTACATAGACTGGAGCGAATGTAAATGAATAGAAATCCATTTAAAATTAATCTGGCGTTACTATTGCTAATGGCCCCTGAGGTTTGCTCCCTCCTGCTGTTTTATGTAAGGGAGAACCTCCCGCGACGTGTTTGTTTATTTTCATCTCTTAAACAAAGAGGGATGTTGATCTGAATGTGTTTGGAAAACAAACCGTTGATGCTGGGGAAATAAAGATGATTGTAATATTTTAAAGAGGCATCAAAATGGCACCTGTTGTCTTTGAGCTTTGGGGGTGTTGAGTCCTCAGTGTTCCGTTCCAGGGAAATTTGGTTTGCTAGGGGAGCATCTTTAGCTCGTGGGGATGATTCCAGCCTTCCCAGCTGAGCTGGGACAGGGTGTCCCTGAGCTGAGGGTTTGGCCGGGGGTGCAGAGCTGGGTGAGCCATCGAGGCAGAGCCCTGGGTGAGGGTCCTGCTCCCAGACTGAGCAGAAACCTCTGAGCTCCTGAGCTGCTTCCCCCCAGGCTGGGGGACAACCCCTCTCTGCCTTCAGCTTCTGGATCACAAGTGTCACCTTCGAGGTTTCACTGCTAAATAATGAGGGGCTTAATTATTGTAATTAAACCTCCCTGAGCAGTGCTGAGCCATGGCCCGGGGTCTTGTCTGGGGAATCCTGGCAGTGCCTCTGCTTGGGGGGGTCAGGTCCCTGGGCAGGCTGTGTGTGCTTTCCTGACTCCATACATTCGGGTTCCGGGGAAAGGGGCTCCTGGAAAAGAGCAGGTTTAGTGCTCAGGGCTGTGAGTCCCGATTTTCTCAGTGCCACGGAAGGAGCTGCCTCTTCTTGTAATTTTGGCGACGCTGCAGAAACCTCGACAGAAACTGAAGCTGCGCAGCCAGCAGGACCCGTGTCCTGTCGTGACAGCTGGGTGATGGGAGGGAGGTGTCCCCAAAGGGTCACCAGTGAACCCACAGTGTCCCTGTCCCCAGTGACACCCGGGTCCTCACAGCCCCGAGCTTTGCAGGGCTGGGCAAGGGAAGATTTTTGTACTAATTGGACCTGAAAGGAGAAGAACATAAAAGAAAAAAAAAATTAAGGATGAGCCTTTTCTCCCTGGGAAGAGAGGTGCTAATGAGCTTCTTTGCATTAGCAGGGGTGATGGTTCCCGTGTTAATCAGGGGGATGGAACTTTCTGGTGGAGTTCAGAGCAGGGTGGCTTCTCTTGATGTCCCTCCTCTGCTGCTGGCCCAAGGACAGGGAGCAAAGCAGAATCATCCTGAGCTCAGGTGCTGCTGTGAGAGGAGGAGGAGGAGGGAGCCAGCCCCAGGGCCTCGGCACAGCTCCAGCCTTCCAGGACAGGCAGTGGCACAGGGGATATTTCCTTTGAAGGCTCAGCTTTGATGTGCACAGGTTCACAGCGCTGTGAGGGGGCTCAGCTGCTCCCCAGCCCCTCGGGAGGCTCCGGCTCTGCTCCAGCCGTGCCTGTGCCGTGGTTTATCTGGGACGTGCTGTAAATAAAACCTGCCACCAATGGCCCTGAGCTCTAAGGACTCCTGATTACACCCAGCCCTGTGCTGCTCAGGGCTGGAATCAGCAGTGTGTAATGTGTTTTGTTTTTTTTTTTTTTTTTACATGAGAGATTAGTTGCATCTCTGCTTATTTTTTATTGTGTTTGTGTGTGTGCACCTTCCATGGGCTGCCCCCGGCTCCTGCAGCGAGCTGAGCTTTGCAGGAGGGTGGAAACCTTTGCTCCAGCCCTGCAGGGTGTGCAGAGGAGCAGTGGCCATGGTTTGGATTCACCCAGGCTGCTCCTGGGTGTGCATGTGCTGGGAGAGAGCTGGAGATACCCTGAGCATCTGCTGGTCCCCAGTGGGCACCCACATCCCACATCCCTGCCCCTGGGGTGATGCTCTGGTCCCCAGCAGGTGCCCACATCCCTGCCCACATCCCATCCCACATCCCTGCCCACATCCCAGCCCTCACAGCTTTTGCCTGGTGCCTCCCTTTGAAGGGCTGGAGTGATCTGGAGCTTCCTGAAAGCCAAGGGCTGGCTTTTATCTCAGTGGTTGGCACAGAGCATTAGCAGGGCTCATTTTCTGATGGATCAGTCTGGAAAAAGTGGGAGGGGAGCTGCTTAGGCCAGAAGAAAGAAACGGAAATAAATTAATTTCAGCATCTTTCTGTACAAAATTAGCCCTGGATGTTGGAGGGAAGGAACTCAGGCTCTGGGCAGAGTGTTTAATCTCTCCTTTGCAGTGTGGGGTCAGGATGGGATTTGCTGCAGGGGGGTGGGTTTAGGTTGGTCCATGGAGCTGGAGCTCTGGAGGAAAGTGGCCTTTTCCTGGGAGAAACATCTTGGTGCTGCCAAGTTGCTTGAACCAAATTCCCCTTCATGGGGCCATGCCCGTGGCAACAGAGGTGCAGCCAGGATGGGGAAGGTGGGGCAGGAGTGGGCAGGGGATGCCTGTGCTCCCACCTTGAGTATACCCATGGCAAATGCTTGGAACTGGGTGACCTTTAAGGTCCCTTCCACCCCAAACCATTCGGTGTTTCTGTGTGTTTCCAGCAGCTTTGTCTGAAAATCAGTTTGTTCTGCAGCTCCCATTGCTGGATGAATTTTAATAGCAGCCAGTAGCTGATTTCACATTTTTGCATTTCTCAGTGTGTGAAGAGCTGGGCTCAATTTACCCGGAGCAGATTTCCATCCCTGC